GCGTACGCCTGGCAGCCAGCTACAGCTAGAGACTCACTTAGGTATTTTAATTTGGCTTTTTAATGATTTTGTTTTTAATATGATTTATTTCAGTATAACTATTGGGACCACCGGCATTTAAATATGATCTGGTTAAGCACTGGAAGTGCTGGTAGGACAGCAGCAGTCTTATATCATGTTTTATATACTATGTACCCTTGTACAGTTTGCATTTAAATCTTACACTGTGCTGAAGGGGTGATCTAAGCCACCATGGAGTTGGGTTACTTAGCTCTGTTCTTGTCCAAAGTATCAAATAAATGGTTCATATTATTTCCAAAGGGGGGAAAAAAGGGGGAATAAAAAATTCCATTGAAAGTTCGGATATTGCATGAATGAAAGTGAAGATAGAGTATCAGACCTAGAAGACAGGATTCTGGTTAGTGATCACAAAAGAGAAAGATCTGTTAAACACAGCAAAAGGGCCATGAAAGCACAGTCCAAAACCTGGAAGATGATGCCAAGAAAAACATCATTAGACTAATTGGAATCCATTGAAAAATGAGGAGTCAGCATAAATGTCATTTGAAAAAACCTGTTCAGAGAAGTAGACACAGGAATCATTCTCAGGACAGACAAAGAAAAATGGAGCAAATAGAACTGCAATAACTCATGAGCAAAACAAATCTATACCAAGACATACAATAACCAAGATTCCAACAATTCAACACAAGTACAGAATATGAAAAGCTGTTACAGAAAAGAAAACAAAATCACCTATAAAGAAAGACATTAAGAGTCACAGCAGACTTCTCAACAAAACCCCTTAAATCAAGGAGTACTTGGGGTGAAGTATTTGAAGAACGCAGAAAACAACTTTCCATAAAAGATTGAGTTATCCTTCAAAATCATCTTTTTGATTTATTGGAGAAATAAAATACTTCCTTAAAAAGAACAATTGAACAAATTCATAACAACCAAAGGAGCTTTACAAACAGCTCCGAAAGACTTTCTAGAAGAGAAAACAAAGAACATAATTCTAAATTCTAGAACATAATTCCAATTTAAAAAAAAAAAAAGCCACCAGGCAGGACAAGCAGCTAAATGCAGGGGAATGACAGGGAACCATCAACATGAAAACCATATAACAAAGACAAGCCATTCCATATCAGTTAGAATCATCAGTGTTAAGGGTCTCAATTCACCAGTCAAGAGAAATAGTCTGGTGGACTAGATCAATAAACAAGATCAAACAATATGCTGCATTCACAGACCACATTTAACACAAAACCAAATTCATACACTGAAAGTCAAAGGATGGAAAACATTATGCTATGTGACAGGAACCCAGAAACAAGCAGGGCAGCTATCCTATTTACACGCAATGTGAACTTCAAGTCAAGACTGATCAAAAGAGCTAAAGAAGGACATGACATATGTGTTAGCGGAAAACTCCAAGGGGTGATAACAAATATAAATATATAGGGAGCAAATATAAGGAAATCCACCTATATAAACCCAATACAAATGGTCATGAAAAATCAAATAAACACTAATACAATTGTAATAAGGTACCTTAACACCCCCCTGTTACAAATAGATCAACCGGACAAAAACTCAATGAAGAAACATCATAAATAAATCAAACTTGTGCACAAGAGGACTTACTAGATGTCTACAGAGTGTTCCATCACACAATATTAGAGTGCACATTTTTTCTCAGTGGTTCATGAGACGTTCTCCAAAATAGAACACATAATACCCATAGAAAATGCCTAAATAAATGCAAAAAAAATATTGAAATTTCCCCACAAACACAATTGGGCCCTAGCGCAATGATATTTGAAATCAACAGCAAAAGAAACTATGAAAGTCCCACAAACGTGTGGAATTTAGATAACAACCAATGGATCACAGGCGAATTTAAAAAAGATTTAAACAGTACCTACAATTAAATGGCAATGGCAATAAAACATACTAGAATTTATGGGATGCAATGAAAATAGTCCTAAGAGGAAAATTTATACTGTTGATCTCTCACATCAGGAAAACAAAATGAGTTCAAATAAACAACTGAACGTTGAACCTCAAACTTCTAGGAAAAAGAAGACATAGAAATCAAACACAAAGCTCAGACAAGGGAGAAAATTATACAGATCAAAGTGGAAGTTAAGGAAATTGAATCTAAGAAAACAATACAAAAATAAATGAATTGAAGAGTTGGGTTTTTTTTTTGAAAGATTAAATGCAATCAACAAACCTTTAACCAGCCACATCAAAATGAGAAAAGAAGATACACAAATTCATGCAATTAGGAATGAAAAAGGTGAAATCACTATAGATCCTGGGGAAAACCAGAGGGTCATCGATGGCTACTTTGAGAGGTGAGGATGTGGCTCAGTGGTAGAGCTCTTGCCTTGCACACAGATGGCCCTGAGTTCAGTTACCAGCAGCATGAGGATACCATGAACTTTGAGAACCTTTTCTCTAATGAAAGAAAAGACAGAGAAATGGACATATTTGTAGATACATGTAAATTATCAAAGTTGAATCAAGAAGATGTAAAAATTCTAAATAATTCAGTATCAGTCAGTGAAAATGAAAATGTAATTAAGAACTTACTATTAAAGGAAAGCCCAAGCTCAGATTGATTCACTGCTGAATTCTATAAGAAATTTAGAGAATCCCTAATGCCATTACTTGTCAAACACTAATGAAATTGAAAGGGAAAAAGTACTGCTAAAGTCATTTCTTGAAATAACTATTATGCTGATACCCAAACCAGAGAATGGTGCAACCAAAAAGAAAAGCTACAGGACAATCTCCCTAATGAATATAGGTGCAAAAATCCTCAATAAGATACTGGTAAAGAGAATGCAGGAAATCATCAAGAAGATTATACACCATGACCAAAAAGGAATCACCCTAGGGATGCAGGGAGGATTGAACACCTGCAAATCAATAAATATAATGCACCATGTTAATAGAATAAAAAACAAAACCATGGGATCATCTCAATAGGTGCAGAAAAACTTTTGACAAAATCCTACACCAATTCATGATAAAAATCCTACAGAAAGTTAGAATAACCAGTCTTTAATCTGACTCTGATGCAAGTTAAAACAATGCTAAGATTTCATCTGACCCCAGAAAGAATAGCTATCATCAAGAAATTAATCAGGAACAAATGCTGGTGGGGCTATGAGGAAAAAGGAACCCTTTTCCATTGTTGGTGAGAGTGTAGACTAGTGTAACCGCTGTGGAAATTAATGTGGAATTTTGTAAAAGAAGTAAGACTAGAGGTCCCATTGGACCCAGCCATTTCCCTTCTTGGTAACTTCCCACGAGAATTAAAAATTATACCATAGTGATATATGCACACACACATTTCTAGCAGCACAACTTGCAACGCTTATATCTTGGAAAAGGCCCAAATGCACAGCAACCCTCAAATGAATAATAAAGATGTGAGTTTTTTTAAAAGCATAATGGAGAGCTACCCATCCACAAAGGTTAAATTTGAGACATTTCTAGTTTAATGGATGCACCTTGAAATCATACTCAAGTGAAATAAATGAGACACATATGATAAATATCACATTGTCTTTCTGACATCAGAAACTGGAAGTGCAAATAAAAGCCCAAGTATTGTAAGAAAGGAAGTAATTGTTCAACTGGAAGAGGGAACTAGGGGAGATGGAAGGGAAAAAGAAGAAAAATGAGAAAAAGGGATAAAGTGGAAATAATGCTTCTGAGAGAGAGAGAGAGAGAGAGAGAGAGAGAGAGAGAGAGAGAGAGAGAGAGATTGAAGAAAAAGGAAAGACATGGGAGTGAAAGAAAAACAAAAATGTGTCATGTGCAGGTACAAATTCCCAATGATGAATGTGATCATTTTTCATATCTAAACTGTACCAATTAACTAAATTCTAATAAAAATGTATCTATACATGATGCAATACTATTCTGCCATAAAGAATGATAAATTTAAGGCATTTTTAAATGAAATGAATGCATCTTAAAAATATATTGAGTGAAATAAATCAGACACAACCTGAAATATCCTATGGCATCTCTCATTTGATTGAGGCAAAGTACAAACAAAGGAAATGATACAGATGTATAGCAAAGAATAGGGGATGGATCTCTTGCAATAGAAAAGTGTTCCAAGGGAACAGGGTGAGGAGCGAGGAGGAGGGGGAGGGGAAATAAGAAGAATAAATACATGCCACGTGCAATACCCTGATAATCCCAATTAATGAAAACATTACATGCTATAATATTGTACTAAGCTAAATTCAATAGAAATTGATATATAGTCTGATAGAAACTGGGCTTTGGAGGAAGTCATCAAAGAAATAGAGACATGAGAATTATGACTGGAGATGCATCTGAAGAATACCAAGCCTCAAGATATGGGTACAAGGAGTAGGTTCACATGTCCCCTAAGGGATAAGTAGAACTTGAAATTATACTATCCTTAGCCACACCTGGTTCAGGCAGTCTGGGTTTGCATCAGTCATGCAGGCAGATGACCAGAGCATCTGGATCCTTCCCTTCCCCCAAATGCCTTTGTTCTTTCCATATACCTTTGGAACACGACCCACTCTCCAATTCGACCAGTATTAGTTAATGGGCTATCCTTGTAATGCTACAGGTTGGTTATAGTTTGACTCATATTATACCTACATTGTGACTTTGTTGAATAAATTACCCTTGACAAAGGGCCTTGGGGACAACACATTTCTTGTTTCTCTCCTATCTCTTGGGATCTGTTTCTCAGCAAAACTTTCCTGCTGCTTACCTCCTTTGCCCTTTGGAATTCATTCTTCAATTTCAGTGGATAGGAACTGGGTATATCTGACATCTAGCAGGTTGAGAGTTAGTCTTTCCTATATCAGTAACATGAACTAGGGCAAATAATAAGAATGAAAACTGGGATAGGGGAACTGGAGGAGAAGGAAGGAGGGGAAATGGAATTAAAACAAGAAACATGTAATTCGTACAGGTAACCATTACCCAAGAAAACTGTAGACTACATGAACAATAAAATATAGAAATAAAGTAAAAACTAAATAAAGAAATAGCTCCAGCTCTTCCAGTACTTTACAATATGGACCAAGAACCTGAGCTCTACTTCAAGCTCAGATATGCAAAGGTGAAAGAAGATCTCCCGCACCTGACCTCTGAGCAGAAGTAGTTACCTGTCTCCTGAAGTCTTCTATGTCCTGAGTTTAGAAACTCAGTTCTAGCAGCATCTCAGGGTTCTGAGCTGGAAGCTGGCCTAGGACTCCTTGGCTTTACTGAGCAAGGAAGGAGTCTTACATCCTGGCCCTGGGTGTGCCCACTTTGGCAAGGAAGGTGGGCTGGCCAGGGGTGCTACAAGGTTTTGGATAGGCAGCAGGAAGTAGAACTGGTGTGGCTATTCTGGGCTCCTTGAGAGGCAAGAATAGAACAAACACCAGGAGACAACAGTGAGGCCATATGCTAAGATAAAGAGGAATTTGATGCGGAGGTATGGCTCACTTGACTCACTGAATGACTTGAGGATTTGATCCTATTTGCATCTACCTGTGGCAAATTGCAGCACTCCTCTCAGGTATTTTATACATTGTTTGTTCAATATGTGTAAACTCATATTGCACAGTCTAGAGATCTTATTCTATTTCTGACAAAGTTCTAAGAGCTTTATTTGAGTCAATTCTTAGTCCCTGAGGACCCATTAATATTTATTTCTCACAGAAGAGGTCAGAGGCCTTGAGATGCAAAGAGAATTACTCTGTTTCTAGGAAACCTAGTCAAGCTGGTGGCCAAGTGTCTCCAGTGTTAGCTGCTATGTGACAGACTTCCTTTGGGGTTTGGTCCATGGTAAAGCACACTGTATCCAGTTCCCTATAGCTGCATGCCCTTGTTTTAGGGAAAAGATGACTGAAGCTTACAGAACAGCACTCAGTAAGCAATGTGGAATGACTTAGTGTATGTTTAATAGAAAGAAAGGGAGAAAGAGCTCCATGACGGGTGGGGGTTCCATAAGGTGGACACCATAGATGTTTAAGTCCATTCACTGGCTTTTTACACAGTGATGGGGGCAGATGTGACAACACTGGACTACTCCTGGTTGCAGGTAGATCTTTGATGTCTGGAAAGCAAGCTGTGTTGTTTGCATTCACTTCTTCTGAGTTCTCTTCCTTTTGTTTAAAGAACTGTTCTTTGTCTCTTGAGTTCATTAGGGCCCAATAGTCATTTTGTCTAAGGTAGTTATTTGGGTCCTCTGGTAAGTTAAATCATGTAAGCCCTGAATTTCCATTTACTTCTCTTAACTGCTCAGGACTTGGGCCCTATCTGCTTAACCTCCCGACTTCCATGCTTCATTCCCTGCTCTACAGTAGTAATATATGACTGCTGTTAGGATGTATGGGCAATAAAGTGTTCCTGAGCTACTTCCTGCTTATAGGGTGTACTGTTGAGCAGCAGTAATCAGAGCTTACCCAATGAGCCCTATGTATGTGTTCTAAATAGCAGCTAGGAAGAGTGCCTGCTCAGATTCTGTGTGCATCACCATTTTCTGCTCTTAATCTGTCCAATGAGAAGAAATAAATGTGAGTAAGAGGTAGAATGAAAAGACTCTTGGGCCCAGTTGCCATAAAGTGGACACCAAAGACTTCTCCAAATATAGCTTCTCACACAGTAATGGAACATCCATCTCTGACAAAACAAAAAAGGGGGATATAAATAAAAGACCATTTTAGTGAAAAAATTAT